GATTGCAGTGGCCCCACGTCCCTGGACACACCCTAGACTTGGTGGCCACCTACAACTCTTCTATTGCTCAAGCCTCCCCATCTTTTAGCCCATTAGCCAGTCATTCTAACTTTCAATCAAATATTCCAACATATTAATTCTTTTCCCAAAGTCAGGTTAATTGAGGTACAAAGTTTTAAGCTTTCTCTAGATTTAATTTTAATTTTTTTGTTTTTGTTCATTGTGGGTTTTTGTTTGTTTTTTGGTGGCTGGCTAGTACAGGGATGGAACCCTGGACCTTGGTGTTATCAGCACCATGGTCTAACCAACAGAGCTAACTGGCCAGCTCCTTAGGTGTAATTGATGATAAACAATAAAGTAGACTTATTTATTTATTTAGGCAGCTGGCCAGTACAGGGATTAAGCCCTGGACCTTGGTGTTATCAGCACCATGCTCTAACCAACTGAGAAACTGCACATATTTAAAGAGTACAATTTGATGAATTTTCACATACATGTACACTGATGAAATCATTGTCAAAATAATATAGTAAACATATCTGTCACCTCCAATAGTTTCTGCATGGCCTTTTATAATTTGTCCCTCTCTTCCCTTATATTTCCTCCCCTTGCAGGCAACCACTGATTTGCTTTCTGTCACTATAGATCAATTTATATTTTCTCAAATTTTTTATAAGTGAAATAATATAATTTTTTTTAAATTTATTTCACTTGAGATTTCATCCTTGTTGTGGCATGTATCAATAGTGCATTCTTTTTCATTGCTGAGTAGTACTCCATTGTATATATGTACCACTACTGTTTAGCTTTTCACCAGTTGCTGGACATAAGAGATAATTCCACTTTTTTTCTTTTTTTGGCATCTGGCCAGTACTGGGATCCAAACCCTTGACTTTGGTGTTATAACACCACACTCTAACCAACTAGCCTATAGAGTTTTTCCATTACCCCAAAACGTTCCCTTGAGCACTGTTCTCCATGTGCAGCCCCTGGCAACCCTGATCTGATTTCTGTCCGTATAGCTCTGTCTTTTTAGAATGTCATATAAATGGAACCATACTGGTTATACCTTTTTGTGTCTGGCTTCTCTCATTAACATACTGCTTTTGAGATTCAGCTGTATTGTTGCATTTATCAGTGGTTCATTCCTTTCCATTGCTGAGTAGTATTTCATTGTATGAAGTAAGACCATTTGTTTATCTGTTCACCAGTTGCTTCATAGGATCGTTTCCAGTTTTTGACAATTATTAGTAAGGCAGCCACAAAAATTTACATACACGTTTTATTGTAGGCATGTTTCCATTTCTCATGAATAAATACTAGGAGCGGGATTGCTGGGTCATATAGAAAGTATGTGTTTATAAGTACATTAGTTATTAAGCTTTAATTTTGCTTATCCTTTGACCTCTCTCCTTTTATAAATTTTTTTTCTGGCAGCTAGTGACCTCTCTACTTTCTTCTTTTATATTAGCTAACTCTTATCTTCATCTTCCTTATCTAAATCAGATTCCATCGTTCATCACTCCAAACAAACTTTTGCTCATATCCTGAACCACTTGTCCCATTGCCTTCCCATCAAACTCACCCTACAACACAACCCCATCCCCTGGATCAATCCAACTATCCCTCTTCTCTGGACCTATTCTTGAGCTGCTTTGTATATCTTAAAAATCATTCAGTGGGCTTTTTTTATTTTATTTTATTTTTTTGGTGGCTGACCAGTACTGGGATTTGAATCCTTGACCTCAGTGTTGTAACACCAAGCTCTAACCAACTAAGCTAACCAGCTAGCCCAGTGTGCATACTGATGTCACATACATTGGTGATTTCTAACCGCAAATGGGCCCTTAACATGAAATCTTCCCATGTCTTCCTGGTCAGCTCATATTCTCCCCAGCAGTTATCTCAAACCTAATCTGCTCTTGTCAGGTTTCAGATGCCATCCCTACGTCCTTTTTCCTGAAGTCTCCATAGAAAAACTCTCAGCAGAATCCATTAGACACCATCAGTTACATGCTTACCTGCATCTACATCCTTCCTTGCCTCCTTCCCTTCTGTTACACTGAACGGTGAACCCCAGCTCTGGCTGTTTAAGGCTAATCTCTCCACCTGTGCTTCTTCCTGGTTTCTCAGGGTCTTCACTCTATAGAACGCTCCTTTGCTTTGTATCTTCATCCTCTTTCTCTCTAATGAATCTTTACCGGAGCTTGCTAGCTAGCTTGCTTGCTATTTCTTTTCTTTTCTCTTTCTGGAATATACTGCCCCCTGTGGTTCTACAGAGCCAGGCAGGAGGGTTTTTGGTTTTTGTTTTCCTTTTTCAGGAGACGTTCAGCTCTCCCAGGGAAGAAATCATGGCCTCTAACTGGCCCTGGAATCTTGGAGTCCCAGTAAAGCCAGGGCTGGAGGCACTTGGAAGTAAGGACCTGGTGTCCAGTTTCTTTAAAATGAGGTGATTCTAGAAGGAAAGAAGGAAAAGCAGATGGACTCTTCTCTTCTCTTCTCATACACAAACACACATACATACTTCCTCCTCACCTCTGCATAGGGAAATAAGCTGGTCAAGGGGCTGTGAAAACAGGAAACTTTAATATAAATAACAGGTCACAGGGGAATACATGCAGCAATGAAATAAACAATTTATAGCCACATGCAAGCATATTGATAAGTCTCACAGATGTAACGTCGAATGAAAGAAGGCATATACAAAGAGATCATCTGATTCTAGTTACTAAACTCTAGATTCTAGGGTATGAAAACAAGTAAAACTACTCCATATTATTACAGTCAGAATAATGGTGCCCTTGGAAAGGTGACTGAGAGTACAAGGGAAGAGGGGCCTCCGGGATGCTGGTCACATTCTGTTTCTTAATCTGAGTGTTGTTATATGGATGTGTACAGTTTTAGAAGTCAGACAGCATCATTTCCACTACATTCTATTGGCTCAGGTAGTTACAAAGATCAACCAAGTTTCAAGGAGGAGGAAGCCTAGACATCCCTTCTCAAAGTATCTATGTCAATATTACATATCAAAGCATGTAAGAAGAAATTGTGGGAGGGGATATATATTGGTGTGGCCATCTTTACAAAATATCTGCCTTTGTTCCCACCCATCAGTATTCACAATAAATCACCAAAATCCTACTACTACTATCTCTTGCTACTACTATGCCCTTTGGTGTGTCTTCCATCACCATTAAAACACCTTTATTTCATGCCACCACCATCCTTCGTGAATTATTGCAACGACCTCCTAATAAGTCTAGTCTTTTTGCCTCCAGTCTTACCTTTTCCAGTCTATTCTCTACACTGAAGACAGAACAGTGAAAAAGCAAACAAATGGCCTACTTTCTCAAGTATTCCTAGGAATGCTTATGCTGGGTAGAGAGCCCACTAGATTGCTTACAAGTGAAACTAATTGACTTGTTGTTTCCTCTTTCCTTAATGATGCACAATCCACCACTCTTTGGTTTTAATTAATAAACTGGCTAGAGGGTACCAAAATTTGAATTTAAACGAAGAATACCACGTGATTCTAAGGTATACCAAAGTTTGAGAACCACTAATTAAAGTGTCTCTGGCTTTCCCAGTTAAAATAATGAGCCAACAGACTTTTCATGTTTCTCTGCCCTCTCCAGCTTCTCTCTGATGTCCCCTCCACCTTCGGCCAGCCAAGGAGAGGTGGGTGGAAAAGAGTACGCACTCCGACTTGGGACAGAGATTTCTTCTCGTCTGTGGGACAGCCCTGTTTCCTCAGCTTGCCTTGCTGCCTGTGAGATGAACCGAGAGATTCATTTAGTTGAGCTTGTCCTGTCCTTTTTTGACTCAGGGCCTTGACTCACCCTGCTACTTCTAGATGCCTTTCTGTCCCAATTCCACCCCTCCAAGAGTCATCTAGTTATAAGGACCCTCCAAACAATCCTCCTGGAGTTCCTCAGCCCTTTTTACTATACCACACCCTGAATCCTTGTAAACACTCATTCACATGTTGAACAAATATCTATTGAGTGCCTACTATGTGCCAGGTACTGATCCAGGACCTGGAAATACAACACAGAATAAATCATACAAAAATCCTCATCCTTGTGGAATTGATATTCTAGTGGAGAAGACAGACAATAAGTAGTAAACAAATAAGTAAAATTATATGGTATGTTATAAGGGGAAACAGGAGTGGGGTGGGTTTCAATGTAAGTGGAGTGGTGGGAGACCTTCACTGAGATCTGAGAGGTGGGAAAGTGGGCCCTATGGCTTCCTAGGGGAGGAGCACATCAGCCAGAAGTGCAGGCAGGTTGGGGGGAGAGGGAGGGGGACAGTGACTGGAGCAGGTGACTGGGGGGAAAGTCTGGGAGGTTACTGGTGGCCAGATTCCATCAGGCATTATAGGCCACTGTAAAGACTTGGGTTTTTACTCTGAGTAAAAAAGCCTCTGCAGGGTTTTAAGCAGAGGAGGGACATAATCTGTTTGATGTTTTTTGAACATCTATCTGGTTGCGACGTGGAGAATGGACAGAAGATGCATGGTGAAACCAAGAAGCTCTTGCAACCATCCAGGGATGGTGGTGGTCTGGTTTGGACCATGGTGGCAGGTGTGGAAGTCAAAAGATTAACATGTTTAAATCAAGTTGAGGCATTAATTATGGCTTGCATTAAATGCATCGCTAATACGCTTCCGCGATGGATTTTTCCACCTTGGATTTCAGGGAATGGTAGTGATTAGGCGTGCGGGAGGGAGACAGAGGAGACAGAGTCTCACGGATCTGAAGACCTGAGAACCTGAGAGGCTTGTAGGCCTCCAGGCCTCTGGCGCAGCAATAATTCTGCAGCCGAGCCCACCAGCCTCTTCCCAGGGACCATGCGCAACAGGCTAGGGTGGGAGCCTATGGCAAGCACAGGACTTTGGCAAAGCGGGACGAGCGCATTCCGGGAATCGTAGTTTGGCGCCTCTGCGCAGGCGCACTGGCCCCTGCGGGCTTGCGCGCGCAGTCGCTGCGGGACAAGCTTCTGGAAGCTCATTGCGGTGGCGTTGGTGCTGGCTGCGGATGCTGGTGCAGGTAGTGGTTCTCCCGGGACCCGGGTTTGGGGCCACGGCGGGGCCGCCGGCTCCGAGGGCTCCCCTGGGGGGGGGGGGGGGGG